TGGCCCTCCAGGAACTAAGTTTGACACCCTTGGCTTAGCTCATGTTTCTGATTTTTATTTTTATTATTATTATTTTTTTTTTCAATTAAACAAATGCAAGGTTATATCTTACAGTTGTGAGTTAACTTCATGGCGGATACAACAACAACAATAGAAAAACAGTTAGAATTTGTTGTTAGAATTGTGAGAAAAGAAGGAAGAATTAAATAATAAAAATAATAAAAGTCTCAATTACTTTTTAATTCATTCATTCATTCATTCATTTTATTTTTTATTCCATTGGTGGAAACAAACTTCCATAAGATAATTCTTTCAAATCATATAATCTTACTGACCCCACATTTTTTGAATGGTAAATAACATTTCTAACATTATTACAGGATCTAATAGAAAATAATTGAATTATTATTATTATTATTATTATATTTTATATCATTAAAAAAAGTGTAAGGCTGTATGACCCCATTAATAGGTTTTGTAGGGCTGAGTGAGGATGATGGGTAACAATCATCACAAGGTCTCATTCTTTGAAGTACAAGCATTAGTGAGATGTGATGTAATGATCCTGGATCTCGAGTGAGAGACTCTTTAATGTCGTTCCCACAGAACCTAATGCAGGCATCTCTTATCAGTCACATACAGACACGGGATGAAAAGACCTGAAAGAACAGATGTGCTTGAATTCCTCGTACACACTAAAACAACTGATCACAACACTGGAATTTTTGCTTTTTATGTTTTAATATTTCAACGTGTCCTATTTGGTCTTATCTATCTAAAAATATGGTGAAAATATAATTAAAGAAATCTGTGTGACGCTCAAATGAAATTATTACAAAGAAACTGTGTTACGTGCAATACATTTGTGATATTACTTTCGTTAGTGACCTGCAGAAATTAGACCCTAATGAAAACCAAAACTGATTTCATGGCAGAATGAAGTACACTCACACCCTGTATAATGCAGTCCACTCTGTTATATTGCACTTTTACACTTGGCAAACCTAATATTAAACAAATAATTGCATATCTCCGGATGGCACGATTATTTGCAAGGTATTGTAATCTAAACAGTGCAGAAATAAATTAAGCAATGCAGACATTTTGATTACATGGCACAAATTCTTATCAATACAAACCCAAAGAAGATGTTTATAAACTACAAGAAAACAAAGAAGAAGAAGAAAACTCTCTCTATAAATATACTGTCTGGTTCAGTCAAACTTAACTTAATCAAGTCAAAATTAACATCACTGACCCAACATATAAATCAGATAGATTATAGAAATTAAAATATTTTACATATTGGTGAGCATCAGCAGTACTTCGGTATCCTCTATTAACTAAATAATTCATAAACCCCACAGTCTGACCTTCCCCATCGGGATGTTTTAAATCATCCACTGGAACCAGCCATCAGTCCATATTTGATTAATGACATAAAAACTCTTGATTCACTTTAGTTCAGACTGTAATCTTGTTAAACTCAGTCAATCTGCACTGAGGTGCACTGCAGTGGCCGCTGAAATGCACCACAGGGCAAAGTTTATTTAGTGGCTTAATGATCTTTGTGTAATTGTGAAAAGTGCCTTCTTGTTATCACCGTAGAGATGATGAATGAGATAGATCACTGCATTCATAACTCAGGCAAAGAGAACATGAGTATATCTATCTTTCAAAATCATTTTTTGAAATCAATTTCAAATCATTATATCTGCACTGTTGTTTACTTCACTGGTTTGCACTCTATCTGCCATGTGCCGTGTGCTGCTTTATATATATTTTTTTATATATTTTTTTACATTTTACCTTATTTGTATATTTGTATAGTTGTATTTTATACTTAATCTGTATATCTGTATTTATGTTCTACTGTTAGTGTTATCTGTATGCACCAAGGGTCTGAGAGTAACGCAATTTCAATTCTCTGTGTGTATGTGCTGTACATGTGGAAGAATTGACAATAAAGCAGACTTGACTTGACTTGACTTGATCTTTGACACAGCACATATATTGCTCTCTTAGATCACACCGTCATTCAGACACCATCTGGAGTCACGTGATTGCCAATGCTTTGAATTAATGGTGTAAAACTTTTTTTTGTCTTAATATCAAACAAAATTCACAATAACAAAGATTTAAAAATACATATTTTTAAAGGGAATAGTAACTGGGAAATCAAACAGTACACTCTAAAAAAATTGTGGCTTGTTTCAATCCAACTTTGGGTCAAATATGGACTAACCCAACTTTTGGGTTAAAAATTTAATTAAACAATTTAACCCTTGTAGCATTTGGACCAATCAAACACACAACTATTTGTTATATTTAACAAATAATATCTAACGCCCCCTCACCTAACCATGGGGAGTGAAAAATGCAGAACAATACTCGGCAGTTTGAAAGAGATTAGAGTGAGTGTTATATAGTGAATGTGCAATTGGTTACAGCTGTGTGCAATCAGTACTGTGCGCAATCAGTGCAATGGATGATGGGGTATGTAGTCCGGGATGACATGCAACAGTTCGTGTAGTGCGAGAGTCAATGTAATGGAAGGGTGACCTCAGGTGGTGAGTGAATTGAAGTTCATAGACCGGATTCGTGACATCATAATTAACTGTAATTATTTATATACATTTCCCTTTTGAGCTAATTTGCTACATAATCGGTGGAGAATGGTGGCGATCGTTAAACATTATTTGCAAGCGGACTCGGTATTAAACTTGTGTGTTTGTCTCATCAATTTTATTAACATCTTTCACATGCATACCAGGTTCTGATAAACTCAGATAAACTATAGCTTGAATGTGCCTTCCTACGAGCAGTAGAAAGTTTTCAGTGCTATAATGCGTTTAAATCGTACGATAAGAAACTAACCTGATTTTAGCGAAGAAATTCTAATTTTTGTTGTTAGTAGGGCGTAAGCCTTATCTGACGAATAAATCTCAGATTAGCAGCCCATATAAATGGTACCAGAATAAATCAGTCTGATCTTGGGCGAAGAAATCCCCACTTTCAGCACTGTTGTAGGTGATCTGAGCGATGCTCCTCATTTCACCGATTTAAAACCTTATTATGTGTTACTTATCATTGTATTCATATTGATCCGCTCATGTGAAACATTGACGTCAAATTAATGGTTTTATTCTAGCGTAGCTAACTATGAATTCACCATTGCCTGTGAAGTGAACGTGCTGTTTTGATTTGTGAATGAGTTGCATGTGACGTCATGACTGAGCACATCTCATCTGACCACATGTGAGTTTCCTATGCATGCCCACAGCGCAGATCAATCGCTGCTCCGCTTGGGCTGTGATGTGAGCTTGCATTGGTCTCCTAGCAACATGTGACCCCGGAAGTGTGAGCAGACTCTTCCGGGTTAATCTGACAACAGCACCCACTTCACAGACCTTTGTGTAAACAAAGGACTGCGTGTAGCCAACGCTAAATCTTTAGCAGCCATACAGGCTAAGCTAAGCCCTTTACCTCAACTGCTAGCTGTTAGCATCCGACTAACTGACACTGTGTAAAGTGTAAAGTTTGAACCACTCCTCTCTCTCTCTCTCTCTCCCCCTCACTCTTGGTTTCACTTCCTGTTCGTGCCATCACCTTCTGTTTAGGCTCAGTTAGGTTGGTCCCTCCCCACATACTTTGGTTTAATTTGTGTTATTTTTATTTTGACTTTATTCTACCTCTCTTTGATTTTATTGCATTTATTTACATTTGTTTAGCATGAATGTACCAATTCAGCTAAAGTGATTTTTATTAAATCTGAGATTTAATTAAATCAATTTATTTATTTACTTTTCCTTTTAGTTTCCTACAGCTATTAGGACCTTATCGTTGTACTTTTACCTCATTTTAGTTATTTTACCATCACCATCTTCACTCTTTGTATAGGATTACAGTAGTTCTAGCATATGCTATAGGCCCTGAGAAGACTAGAAACACTTCCTATTGTATAGGTTTATATACCTTGAGGTGTTCGAGGTGTCCCTGCTTAGCTAACAGTCTCCCTAGGTCTATGACCCTGCTGCAGCATCCCTTTGAACAGGTGACAACTGCATTTTATTTGATACCTTCATAGTGACCAAACCTGTGAACCATCATGCTTTGAGTAATAGTTTGACCACACGTATAGCCCTGCTTACAGCCCCATCAAGAAAGTTACTCAAACCTCTCTCTGCAGGCATTCCACAGACATCCAGCCCTGCCAGCTCACCAGGGCCACCTGGAAACCCAGCAGAGCACTGTAATGGACATCCTTCAGCCCAAAGCAGCCAACGACCTGCAATGGCAGAGAAATGAAAAGCGAGACAGCGACACAAGTGGACACCTGACACTCAGCCTGAACCACCAGGATCTGCCAGCATCATCCTCTCCTTGGCACACAGCCTCACGGGCCTCAGACAGGAGGTAAATGAACTGAACCTGCAAGTCACAGAGTTCTACAGGGAACTGGCACCTGCTCAACGAGAGAACGCACAGAACAGATGCAAGGAACCTTACAGAATGGTGCAACAGAAGGAAATCACCAGTCTTCAGGAGGCGCTAACAGCTGCTGGACACCGAGAGCAGCTTGAAAAAGCCACCAGACAGGACTTGGAAAAAGAACTGTTTCACACAAAATCACTGTTAAAAACAGCATATGTGAAACTTAATGAGAGAGGCACTAGAGTTAAGGCCTTAGAAGACCATCTGCATGCAGCCAGAGCTGAAGTCCAAACCCTGACTCAGCAATTCTGCAACATTAAAGAGGAGCTTGACATGGTCCAGAAATAACTGAAACAGTCCTACAGACTGTGCATGGACTCAAGTAAAAGTCACCCTGCTGCACGTCACACTGCCAGCAGTGTAAACCCCCTCACCCCGGATCATCAGAAGGCAAATTCAAATAGACCAAACATGGTATCGGTGGGGCTATATTAACTAGTGATCTATCATAACACACACACAAAACAGTATACAATTCAACAGACCACCTCTGCAGCTGCAGAAGGAAAAAGTTTAATTCAGGCGAACCGAAACGACGCCTGTGAATGCCACCTGCAAGCAGCCCGAGCTGAAATCCAAGTCCTGGCTCAGCAACGAGACAACTCCAAACACCAATCGGGTAAAGTCAAACGAAGCCAAGGTGAATTGTCACAAATTAACTGAAATAACAGACAGGGAAAACACGACACAGAATTTCCCCTGACAAGCAGGCCCAGGCCCCCTCATCCAAGAGTCTGAACCTGCGAGGGGGGGGCGAGAGCCCACTGTTCACACTTCACCAGACAGCAACCACAGGGGGGTGGGGCAGGGACCCTTCCAGAGGATCACTGCAAACACACACACCGTGTGGCCCTACAGACCCCAACAAGCTGGCCAGAGACAATACAACTGGCAACCTAAATACTGCAGAGGGCCACAACACTTGCCCACCTGCAAAACATGGATTTTTATGCTTGCACTCTGCCCAATGTGACCGCACAAGACAGACTATCTGCTCAGGATCACCTCCGGCCTTGAGGCACACAACATCCTGTACCAGCAGTCTGAAACTGTCAAAGCGGATTACAAAAACTACAACAAGCCTGCTGCAGCCAACTCTGAGTCTACGGCAGACGACAAAACAGGCCACGAGGGAGGAAGGCTTCAACTCCAGAACTTTCCCGCCTCCCGAAATCTGCATCACATTGTGAGTCACCACCCAAGCGCCATGACCTTCCCCCGCACAATGACCACCTGACATCTGCGGAACTCAGCCCATATGGCCTACAGAGGACACAGCGCTGCCTCTATAGAGACTGTTAAAATCCTGCCCATATCTGCACAGTACCCAGAACTGACTCGGGAGAGCACACGGGCCAGCAACAGAGATCCTGAGGACATTAAAGGAACTGATCCTGAGAGTGGCCTCACCAGCAGCTTAAACAAGCCATCATAAAGGAATTCTCAGACCCAGAGTCTGAACACGGACTCCTTAAAACCAGTTGACACCCTAGAAGCAGCCAGACAACGTTGGATAGAGCAACGGGCCCACATGCCCAACAGCGAAACCTCTACATCAGATTTCTAGTGACGTTCGAGCTACACAGAGGGCTAACAACCACCTGCTGCCCTCCTGGCACCATCACTAAGGCAGTCTGAAACTCTCTTCACACTACAAAATCTGCGACCCCTGGAACCACCTGCACTCTCACCAGTGAGAGTCTAACCCGGCTGTTCCACATTGCAGGTACCACAGATAGCCTACTGGCAAACAACACCCAAAACAACCATCTTACCCAGACCAACTCACTTCAGGATGACAGGTGATACAGCCTTGACACCTGCTGCATAAACTTGAAGACCTGCACCTTGCTACAGCATCCACCACGGCACCACAACCACTCCTGGAGGCAACCAACAGTCAGAGAGCCACCACTGTCTCCCAGCCGTGAGTGACATAAAACTAGTTTTATTGCTTAAAGGAATGTGGGCAGAGCAACTCTCCCTCCATGTCTCCTAAGGAAAGACACATAATGCCCATAAAAATGGACTCTTCTCTAATTAATTCATAGGAAAACCTTTCTATGAATGAACACACATATCCTCAGGTCATTGTGTATACCATTACTGTTCTTGTATATTGTCTTTTGTATTGTATACTGTTTTACGCATGCTTTATGATAGAACCACTAGTTAATGTAACCTCAATCCTATACAATTTTTGGTATCTACGAATTCATATTCTGATTATCTAAATGATAAATTGTAATTATTTATATACATTTCCCTTTTGAGCTAATTCGCTACACCCAACAGCTGGGTTTGTCCATATTTCACCCAATGTTGGGTTGAAACAATCAAATTTATTTTAATAATTATTGTATTTTATACTATTACTACTAACATGTTACAATTCCCACTTTTTAATAGTTAATCCATTTACTAACATCAACTAACCATGAGCAAGACACCTGTAACAGCATTATTAATCTTTGTTAATATTAGTTAATAAACTAATAACAGTTCAATGTAATTTAATGTTAGCTTAGGTCCATTAAATTATATTAAGGTATAACTTTTGATTTTAATAATGTAACTAAATTTTGAACTTAACATGAACTGAATTAATAAATGCTTTAGATGCATTTTTCATTGTTAGTTCATGTTAACTAATGTAGTTAACCTTACTGTAAAATGGTAATATAACAACAACAACAACAGCAATACTTGTTATGATCCAGCCTGTGTTTCCGTTTCACTGTGTATTTTGAAGTGTTTTCCCTGCTGCTATTGTGTTCGTGGTTCCCCTGTGTTTGCCCTATTTCCCAAGCTTGCTTGTTTGTTCCCATAGTTACCCGTGTGTGTTCCCATGACAACTGGCTACGCCCCCTTGTTATCTTGTTTAGCTTGTCAGTCTGTGTGTATATATAGTGCTGCTTGGTTTTTACTTGTGTTTTGCTGGTCGTTCTATGGATTCCGGTCTTGTTTCCTGCATGTTCCTGTTTTTTTTTGTGTTTTTTTCTTCTGTGTGAACTGTCTCATGGTGTGGATTATCTGAGTTTTGTCTTTTCTTAATTAAAGTTGTGTGTGCATGTGGGTTCTCTCTGTGCTGCGTCTGTCCGTTACAATAATAATAGTTTTTGAATGGATTTAGATTTTACTTTTTATTTATTTATTTATTTTGTAGATGTTAATCTGCAATATGTGGATGGATGATAATAGATTGAAAATCTGAATTCATACATCCAGTTATGGTCAATGAAAATACTGGTGCAACACAAATGTACAGTGAAATGTGAAATCGATTGCATGCAATGAAATAGTGACAAAAATGATAATGTTAATTTTAAATAAAATGAAACATCACACTTTATTTTAAAGTCCAGTTCTCACTATTAATTAACTATTAACTACGACTTTTGCCTCAATAAACTCCTAATTCCTGTTTAGTAAGGAAGTTGTTATTTTTATTGGGGTTGAAGAATATGGTCATGCAGAATATGTGCTTTACTAATAAATAGCCAATATGCTAGTAATATGCATGCTAATAAGCAAATAGTTAATAAGAATTGGTCCCATGTACTAAAGCATTACCAATGAAATAGCAAAAATAGTCAGTTGGACAATTGTCTGCATGACGTGAATCATTTTGTATGTTCAGGTTTGCTCAACATAATTTTGAACAAAATTAGTAAAGTTCAGCTTCAACACCTTCACTTTACTTTCTTCAATATGATATTTAAGTGCCACATGGTTGTTTTGCTGTAGCCTTTGTATTTCAGCTCTAGACATGTTCTTTTATATCATAAATGAGATTGGAGCGACAGGTTTTTGAGGTCGTGCAGTGTAGCAATATCAGTGGTCGCCATGACCACAGGTTGTGCAGATACCAAATGAATAATGCCGATTACACAAAAGTGTTATTATGCTCTACAAGGTTAAGCTGGGGCAGCTATACTGTGTGAACCCATGCACAGGGGCATAACAGAAAGCAAAACATATTTCCTTGTTACTAGGCAGTCTTATTTTGAAAGCATCAATAAATATTCCGAATATGAGATATATAAGACACCTGTATTACAGGGTACATCAGGGTTAAAGACCACCTAGAGTAAAAGGTCCTTTGATTTTTTTTTTTTTGTCCTAGAATACAAAATAGCAACCAACAAAAACACAGCACTTTCATAATTATGCACTACAAATTGTCTAGATCCGTGATTTATATGAATACATATATACACTGAACACAATTATAAACGCAACACTTTTGTTTTTGCCCCCATTTTTCATGAGCTGAACTCAAAGATCTAAGACTTTTTCTATGTACACAAAAGGCCTATTTCTCTCAAATATTGTTCACAAATCTGTCTAAATCTGTGTTAGTGAGCACTTCTCCTTTGCCGAGATAATCCATCCACCTCACAGGTGTGGCATATCAAGATGCTGATTAGACAGCATGGTTATTGCACAGGTGTGCCTTAGGCTGGCCACAATAAAAGGCCACTCTAAAATGTGCAGTTTTACTGTATTGGGGGACGACGAGTATGCAGATGAGCTTCCCTGAGACGGTTTCTGACAGTTTGTGCAGAAATTCTTTGGTTATGCAAACCGATTGTTGCAGCAGCTGTCCGGGTGGCTGGTCTCAGACGATCTTGGAGGTGAAGATGCTGGATGTGGAGGTCCTGGGCTGGTGTCATGATAATCATGCTGTCTAATCAGCATCTTGATATGCCACACCTGTGAGGTGGATGGATTATCTCGGCAAAGGAGAAGTGCTCACTAACACAGATTTAGACAGATTTGTGAACAATATTTGAGAGAAATAGGCCTTAGAAAAAGTCTTAGATCTTTGAGTTTAGCTCATAAAAAATGGGGGCAAAAACAAAAGTGTTGCGTTTATAATTTTGTTCAGTATATATTACGTTTTTATAAAGTCGAGTAAACCAAGTTTCTAAGTAATTATTAAATAAAACAATAGCAGTTATGTTAAAAAAAGACTGATTGGAAAATCATAATTTGTTCATAAAAATGTGCAGTTTTTCATATGTGTGATTTATGTTGTTCATACTTTTTTTTGGAAATGTATAATAGTTTTAGTGTCCAAGATTTTGGGTTTTGCGTATGCTTATTGAATGAGACCCAGTGTTAATAATATAATATGATATAATATAATATAGTATAATATAATATAATATAATATAATATAATATAATATAATATAATAATCTTATTATATAATAAATCAAATGCTTACTGAAATGCCAAAAGTGATTAAATAGAAAATTGATGTATAATATAATATAATATAATATAATATAATATAATATAATAATCTTATTATATAATAAATCAAATGCTTACTGAAATGCCAAAAGTGATTAAATAGAAAATTGATGTACCATTTGTCGAAATGAAATACTTAAATGTTACTTAAAAATATATTGCTATATCCAAAAGTATTTGCATATGGTGAAAACTTTTGCCATATCACTAGTATTGGTATATTAAGACTAAGTCAATACACTACAGGACCCAGGCAGTCTTTTGCTGGGCTTTTACCCCAAACGGTTTACATGCCTTTTATTCAAAACAAATATCTTCTACCATTTAGTTTTACACAAATTATGCTGCTCCATCAATTTTCAATAAAATATACTGAATGTTGATGCAGCAACATAATTTATACATAAAGCAAATGTAATTATATTTCCCTTAAGGTTTTTTTTTTAGCACCATTCTATCCTACTTTGATATGATGTTTACTTTTTTTAAATAAATGAAGTCAGACGGCAGGCTTAGACATGGCTCTGTGGGAATTAAATGTTGCCAAGATACAGTAATTAGAATGAAACCGCACATGGGATGAATGTCTATTAGATCTATTAGATTACATTGGATTCAAGGAACAGTTTGAGGCTTATTGGAGCAGATGAGCTGTCATTCCCACCTCCTGACACCAGTGTAAATTTGCTTCCAAGTCAGGCGGTATTTTGCATAGTCCACATCTTAAGAAGGCAGAGTTTGGTGTAAAATATACAATAAGTCCAGTGTAAATATGAATTATTCTATCCCATTAATGAAAGTCAACATTAAATCAATCCACGTATCACATTGCCTTAATGAGGGAGGTCTGTGCAGGCTTAGTCTGTTCAGCTTTGATTAGAAATACTGGCACACAGATTGGGTTTCCAGCCTCCCACCCAACACAACAAATATAATCACAATCACAGAAACCAGGAGCCAGGCCATAATCTGCTTATGAGCTAAATACAAATGTATAGATGTGAATTCAATTAGCTGAGGCTTGTTGTCAGATTACATATTGTATACATTTTGTAAGATGTTCAACAAATTGTATTTTAATTGATTTCTCT